AAATTAAATTTGTTTAGTTAAGAGTTTCATAATCAATATGTACAACAAATAACATCATATTTGTTCAATTGACATTACTTTTACCGGATACCGGGTATCCTGGTTTGTTGCTGAAGTCTTACATTACCTTATAGTTTAGATCAGAAGGAGCAATTTGTATTTCTCATCTTCCATACTTCCCATGACACAAATGTTTGCAAGTTGATTTTCCATGACGCCGATGATTTTGAATATGCACCACGAACAACCGAAACAACATACTTAAGTCTTGCAATGTTGGTTGATACAAAAACGTCACGCCAATTGTTAATCTGTAATATGTTTCTTGAAGGTTGTAGCGAGGGACAACTGAAAATTAGGTGTTCGAATGTTTCGCATTCTAAATTACAATAGAAAAATTCGGGGGCATTCTCGAGAAATAAAAACCACCGCTTTTCTCGATCTTTAAAAACAGCGTATGCAAATTTATAAAGAAAGTTTTTTCCCATACATCAAGCATTGAATTTTTTCAAATTTTTCCCGTAAATTTAATCAATTCTTCTTCTGAACAGAGGTAACGGTTTTTATAAAGAAAGTTTTTTTCTCATACATCAAGCATTGAATTTTTCCAAATTTTGCCCGTAAATTTAATCAATTCTTCTTCTGAACAGAGGTAACGGTTTGCTGCAAAACCCAAGCGGAAAATCACAGCTCGATGAAAACTACAGTTTTGTGAGCAGAAATAATAAACATCTCGCGATTTTGTCTGTATTGTTATAATTAAACGGCTATTGGTACTGTTTGAAAATATTGCAAAATCACTTGAACTTATTTCAATAGAGATGTTCGTATTTCTCAACAAATTTTTGATTTCTTTCGGTAAAATTGTATTTGATGGTAATAAACTATTTTGATCTGACATATCAGAAGCAAAGAAATTGATAATTTTCATACTAAAAAGTTTAAGTTGTAGGCATGGTAAGCCTATCCCACTATCTAAGATGGGGTGATATAAAACTTCTTTTCTTATGTCGAGTCTGCTTGTTTTTTTCAATTCTGTATTTAATAATTCTTGGCATTTACTAACAGTATCCAAGTTAACTGTAGTATGACGAGCCAAATAAAAAAACTTAGGGAGAACATAAACTGACAGTGTTAATGATTTGGCCCTCAAAGATTTACTTAGTGAAATTAACCCTCGATGTTTTTGAATTTGTGAACTCAACAATAATTCAATATTTTCAATTTTTTGGGAAGTGTAAAACAAGACACAAAGTATTTTTGTTTCCTTGACTGTTTTATAGGGTGATAAATCAGGTATGGAAAGCACTTCGCTTTTACTTATGTTAATCATCATTTGAGTTTGCTTGCAAAATGTATCGATTAAGCGAAACAACCTGTCAATACATCGGATTTTGATAAGGCAAGTTATGTCGTCTGCATATGAAACTAGTTTGGGGCACAATATCCCGAAACCTTCAATTGCTTCTGTAGATTCAATTGCTTGAAGAAGGGGTTCGATAAAAACTATGAATAAAAATGCGGAAAGAGGGCAACCTTGTCTCACACCGCGATGAATTTTGAAGCTGGCTGATAAAAAACCATTTATCTCAATTACTGCTTTTGAGTCTAAATACAAAGTTTCAATAGCTCTAACTGAAAGCTCATCAAGGTTTAACCCTTTCAAAATTTTGATGAGAAGTGATCTGTCAACTCTGTCAAATGCTTTAGAAAAGTCTAATTTTACAGCACATGAACCTCGGGTAGCCAATCGTTCTGGAGTAATCGCTTTTTTCAATTTTCGTATTGCTGTGTGCATTTGTCTTCCAGGCAAATACGCGTGCTGATGGTTTTTTACAACTTTGCAAAGGTCATTTTTAATTCGATTACAGACTACATGGGCAAAGATTTTCGCGTCAGTATTCATAAGAATGATGGGGCGAAAATCTTGTACTGCAATGGCATTTTCAGATTTCGGGATCAGTTTGATTATTGCTAAATAAAAACTGTTTGGAAGTTTTCCACCATGAACAAAATGATTAAAAACTTTAGCTAAAATTGAACAAAACTCATCCGTGAAAGTCTTGTATAGCTTAGAAGTAAGGGCGTCTGGTCCAGGCGAGCTTTTCAAATTCAATTTGTTTATAGCCAAGTGAATTTCATCTTCTGTAAAGTAATTATAGCCATCATTCTCATTTTTTTCGAGTTTATTTTTTGATAAAAATGTCTTTAGTAGTTGATCGGAGTCTGTTGTAGAACTATTTGAAAAAATAATTGAAAAATACTTTCGAAATTGATTAAGAATATCTTCATCCGTATGATAAACGTTCTGATCCACTTGAATTCTCTTGATTGAGTTGATTGTGTTCCTTGATGTCCATTGACTACAAAATTTGGGAACACCCTCGAATGTATAGCTGAGAGTTTTCTGAATTTTTCGATAATCTGAAAAATCTTTTTCCTTGGAAACTTTTTGAAGATGTTCCAGCACCAAATGATATTTTTCAATCAAATTAGGGTTGGGACCTTTTCCGCTGTGAATGCAATCTCTGAGAACATTTTCGTGATACTTCAATAAATTAAGTTCTTTCTGATCTACACGCTTTTTGTTCTCTTGAATAAACCTCAGAAGGTCACGAAAATTGTGCTTAAAGTTTTCGTAACTACTTGGTGATTAGTTTTCGTAAAAGTTTTTTAGGTCTTCACGAATTAAGCTGGCGTTGTTGTTTAAAATTTCTTCATTTAATTTCCAGTAACTAGGGCCGCGCTGATACAAGTTAGATGGCTTAACAAAAACGTGTAAGAGCAAATGATCAAATATTGATATTTGAATGCTTTGCATAGAATCATACTCTGTTTCGAATTTTAAGAAGACATAATCTATGCGTGCAAAAGTTTTATGTTGTTTGTCATAATGTGTATAATCACAAAAATCATTCTTGAGTGCAAAATCAACAAAACCAAAACAGTCAAGAATTTGTTCTTTGAGTTGGGTAAATCGTTTGATACGTGCATCATTTAACTTAAGTATTGAAGAACTATTAATATTATCATAACTCAGCGCATTAAAGTCACCCATCATGATAATTTTCGATTTGTTAGGTAAAAATCTGATGCTTAATTTCAGGGAATTCAAAGTTGCTCGGAATGAAATTGGGTTCGCATAAACGTTGATAGCAAACCAATCAATTTTGACAAATTTTAACAATTGAAAACTTGTACTTGAAGCAATTCTTTTTGCAGGACTCAAGTTTGATGACCATAACGTTAAGAAACCACCAGAATTATTTGAGCCCGGTATGAAATCGAATAAAACATTATATTTTTCCAGTAAACTTCCAGTAAATATTTGTAAGTTTCGATATTTTTGCTTCCTGAATGCACAAAATGAAACTGGGCGATTTTTTTAAAACTTGGCATTTTTTGATAAGTGAGTGTAATTTAGCTGGATTACCTATGCTAAAAATATTAACGGAAAAAATATCTGGTTTTTCGCACATAGAAATTTTTGCTAAAACTTCCCTCCAGCCAAGTCTTTTCCGTTATTTTTAGATTTCATTTTTGGCCCTTTCTTCCGTGTTAAAACTGACCAAGAGAATGGTGAAGTTTCACGCTCTCTTTTTGTAAGCATTCTTCCGTCAGAGGAACATTTTCGTTTGTTATTTTCGATATTTAATTTGTCTTTTTTTTCTTTTGCAGAGTAAGAATGAAAATCTACGACCTGATTGTTGAGAACCTCATCCTTTTGTTTTTCTTCGCTTGGAGTAGCTGCACTGTTTGTTTTAGATTCATCAATCAAAACTCCAGATGGTGGTGCTTCAACATTCTTGTCTTCTTCATTTTCGGTACCATTACAAAACTTATCGCTTGTTGTTTCGTCATCGTTTTTCTCGTCGCTGGCATTATTGGAGCTTGGTTTTTGTGGGTAGTGATTATTTGGATTTTTGGTTATTTGGTTCCCTATGTTACACCAATCATCGTGATGACCTTTTTCTTGGCGTCCAGACATCTTGCATTTTTGACATTCATGTAGTGAAGGTATGTGAAACGAGATTTCTACACCTTCCCACATTTTGAAGCCATCCATTCTCGATTTATAAGACCAGTCCTTCAGCTTTTTCTCTTGTTCTTCGTTTTGTATTTTAACTTCTAAAATTGCTCTTCCTGTGTAAACATACTGACCCGGTTCAGTTACGATACAGGTCTCACGTTGGAATATGGGGCTATGAATTATGTCTTCTGGCAATTGGAGAATTAATTTCGCTTCGATATCGTTGCATACATAAGGCAAGTTCGACAATTTGATTTTTTCTAGTTTAGGGTAAATGTTCTTGGGTCTATGAGACCTTGGAAAGCATCCCATGGGAAATACCGTCCTGTTAAGTAGAATGATTCCTTCGCTTTTTGATGCTAGTTATGAATTGCTCTGCTTCGGGGGGAGCAATAACTGTCAGTGTATGAAGTTTGCGGGCATCTTTCGTCACGGTTATTGTTTTTGAGATTGTCATCTTCTGTTGCATTGTTGTGGGGAATTGTTTAAGTATATCGGAAGCACAACTTCGATATGCCTGAGCCAGATTTTCAGCTGACCTTACAATTTCTCTCGAGAATGGGGGGATGATTTTGATTATTTGGATTTGTTTTGTTTGTGTCGTCGATTTGTTTGCTGTTAGCGCATTTCTGAAATTTGTCTCCGTTTCAATCAGCACTTCATGAGTAATTGGTAGCTGAGATTCCGTCAGTTGTTGTTGACTCATGACTTGGTTTTACTCAATGGGGGGCAAAAAAGCCTTCACCCGTAGGTATACTTGAAAAAAAATTAGATTTTTCTCTTTCAAAATGTAGAAATCAAAAGGCAAAAACATCAACATCATTACCTTATAGTTAACATCTATGACACATCCATGTTTGAGCTAAATTTCAATTTTTACAATATTTCGATTTGTTCCCAAAGTTTTGTCACGTGTCGTTACAATCGAATAAAAAATTATTTCAATGGCCTTACACCATAGAATCTGCTGGAAACCACGTAAAAGCTTCGTTTTTTTTGCAGATTGTCAGGGTTAGCCTTGGGAGAAACCGGGTTTGAGCGACTGGATTTGTTTGCATATGGTTGATTTTTCTATAACAAGCAAAACTGTGTTGGCTTTGATAGTTAGAAAGCTCTCGAGCAACTAAATTACGGCATTTTGTTTACAGAATTACCATTTTCGATAATTTCCTTGCTTTATTTTTGAGCCCAATATCGGAGTTATATTGATCATTTTCTTGAATTTCATAACATCTGGCATGTGTGTTTTTTTAAGAAAAATCGAAAATAAATTTTTTTAGTTTTTTCTTTTTCTTCAAATTAGTTATAACCATAATAACATACATAAATCGTTGGTCCCAGAGAGGCTCGAACTCTCGACCCTCGCGTTATTAGCACGATGCTCTAACCGACTGAGCTATGGAACCTTGCAATTGCAAAAACTCATGGTTATTCAAAGCAGTCTAACTTCAGCGTGTTAGATTTAGACAGCATATTAATTTATTCCAGAATATTCCACATTTAGTACTGACGATAGGTATAATCGATGCGATAACTGTGTCACAGAATATTCTGGAACAATTCAGCAAACAAGAAGACTGCAGTAGAATGTTGTTTCTAGAATCTTCTAAAATTTTATCTATAAGTTCATATAAGCTGAGGAAACTCAAATTAACATTTCGAGTGAAATTAAAAATTGAATTTGCTTAGCTTTGCATTTGTCTACGCCATAAATTTCATTTAAATAAACTTCATTTAAACTTCATTTGTCTACGCCATAAACTTCATTGATAAGTGTTATTTTTGCAAAAGTACAAGCAATCGGGAACTAAAAAGTTACAATTCTTTGCAGCAAAATGCAGTTTTTAAACAACAGTCATGATCCATTCGGTCTGTCGTTTCCATTTGACAATTTTTCGCCGTATGAAAGACGATACAGATCCGATTTCATGCCTTGGGACTACCCTGATCTAAACCGACGAAGTCGACCCAGCTTTTCCCAGAATCTAAACAGCCACCAGCACAAACCTCAAAGCTTTGCTCCTTCGCCACAGAACACGAATCGGAATCAGATCACGTCGACGGAAACGCCTCGAAAAAATACTCCGAAAAGATCCCAGTCGGTATTGGAGCAGAAATCATTCAACTCGGCAACTATTTTGACAACAGACGAGGTACGATTTCTGGGAATGAAGGACATGGAGAGTTTCTGGACTCATCCTTTGGATATTTCCCAACTGGACCCCGAAACTATCAGAATAACCCTGGACGAGCTAAAAAGGACGATTGGAGTGCATGGATCAGTGCAGACATCGGAAGGACTTGCTATATCGAGGCCAGTCACAAAGGCAGTTGTGGTTCCCGAAAACGTGGACTTGGGATCCCTGTCGTCGAAGATGCTACCGAACGGAAAACTAGTGCTCCTAGCTAAACGTGAAAAGATTCCGGAGAGTCGGATAAAAGAAGAAAGAATTGATGACCAGTTTACGCATGTATCGGAGTCTGAAGAGATGGACTGCGACGAAATTCCCCAAAACTCTTCAGACAGAAAGGAGGCCGAAAAGAAAAAGAGCCTCAAAGATTCCCAAAACCAAGCCGAACCCATGAAAAATCCCTCGGCTCACAGGAGAAAAAAGAATCGCGGAGAAAGCTTGTCCGAACGATGTGAAAGTGAGTCAGATCATGAGCATGAGTTTGAACATGGAAGCGAGTTCATGGATCTGGCGACAATTTATCAAATGTGCAACATCAAAAAGCCAATCGGAGATCAGTGGCCTAATTTAGAGTGAACTTAATGAACTTGAAAAACTGCAGAACTGTTCTAAGTTTCGTTTCCTTGGAAATATATTTTGCACGATAGAAATGCCAAATTTAGTTTTACGTTCAATTGTAATTTATATCTTCTAGTTTTGCAATTTTTCATTGCTTTGACTGGAGGCGGAGCAATAAGCAGAATGGTCCAAGTGCAGAATGAGTCCAAGAGCAGAAAAACAGAAAAATATTGACTTAAATTGGTTTATACGGGCTAATTGATAGAAAAATGATTAGAATCGTCAAAAAATACGAAGAAAACGAATAAATTCTGCATGAATTGACTAATTTCATTAAGTTTTTTTGATTAAATTTTTTTTGAAAAATTCTTGATTAAATTGCTCAAATTATGCATAAAATGTTCGTTGCTTTGCTATTATTGACGTTTCTGATAATTAATTTACCGATTCGCTGATAGAAGTTGATGTTGTTCTATTTTTCTGCTCTTTGACCCATTCTGCTCTTAGACCATTCTGCTTATTGACTGGCCACCGTTTTGACTGTATATATCCGTTTAACTCAATTTTAAACTCAAAGTTTTGCAAAGGACAGGAGTTTATACCCCCCTAAATTATTTTAAAAATAAAAATGAAGAATTTTCTTACAAAGTTTGACTGATTTTCCTTAAAAATGCAGAGCTGATATCCCGAGCTAGAAATTCAATCGAGCTAGAAACTGGCAAAAACAGCGAACTTAAAGACAATTAAAAACGCATTTAGAGTCCTTTCAATGAAATTTATACTCGGAAAAAATGGCAAAAATTTGAGCAAAAAGTCAGTTTGAGGCTCAATTAAAAAAAACTGTTTCGTATATACCAGTCTCATAATAATATAGTGCATTTCCTATTCACGGTGTCCCACTTATATAATGAAAATTTTAATTTTTCATAATTTAGGGGGGTATAACCGAAAATACCCAAATTTTGACTCACCAAAAATGTTTTAAGCTCAATTGAACCATGCTAATGTTTATTTACAGTCAATGAGGAGCTAAAAATGAGTTAAATTTGATCCGACTCCGATGGATGTAGCATCATTGTACCGCAAAAAACAGATACTATTGTATTAGTCCTGCTTTTAGCGATGACTGTGTGGTGCAGTGTTGGTCAATTTATGTCATTTTTGGAAAAAGGACGTTTAAAACGTTTTAAACGTTTATAACGTCATCAATGTTTAAAATGTCAAAATTAAAAACTGAGCAAAAACGTTTATTAATGAAACTCAATCATTAAGAGCGCGCATACAAAATTAAAGTTTTGCAGTTTTTGCACTGTCCAAGTTGTTTCTTTTTCCGTCTTCAACCATTCCCGTCGTCGAGAAAACTCTTTCGAGGCCGGCTGAGGTGGGAACAAGCTCAAGTAATCTCAAGGCTGACTTGTTATGAAGTCAATTATGACACGAGAAAGTAACACGCTATTTCTGACAGACGTTTTAAACAGTGTTTAAAACAGGTTTAAAACGTACTGTGTTATTAAAGGACCAACACTGGTGTGGTGTCCAGGAAGGCCAGTCATTGAGCAGAATGGTCTAAGAGCAGAATGGGTCCAATAGCAGAAAAACAGAAAAATATCAATTTTTATAAGCTTATGGGTAAGTTAAGTATAAGAATTGTCAATATTACCAAAGAAGCAATAGTTTATGCATAATTTGAATAATTTAATCGAGATTTTTTTTTAAAATTTTGTTCAGAAAAACTTGATAAAATCATTCAATTCATGCATATTTTATTCGTTTTCTTGGTATCGTGAATGGCTTTGATACGTGAATGCTGTACAAAATCGAGTATTTGATTAATATAGTTTTGTACATCATGCGACAGACTGTTTCGTATGCGTTTCATCCCTGACATGAACCGCTGCTTTGAACCAAACACAGTAGCCTACAATTTTGTTTGCCAAGAGCCCGTCGAAATGAAACTTCTTTGCTTTTGTCGGGAAAATGATTAACAGAATAAATGAGACAATTTTCTTACTTATATAAGTCGATAATTGTTGTAGAGAAAACAAATAAAATACTTTTATTTAGGTATACTTTTTGATTCTCATCTTTCCTACCAAGCTCAAATACAGAAAATAGCAGAAAACGGCCCAAAATAAAAAAAATACTAGATACCACAGCCATCATTTACCCACAATATTCTAAGTTGTTTTGCTACATTTTACTATTTTTTATTATCAAAATTAAGCTATGGACACATTTTTACAACAAAATAACCCAAACCTAATGGTGATCCCAGAGAAGCATTTGAAACGGGTTTTGAAACGCTCGTTTTTCAAATCAAATCAAATTTCCCTCGCTGCTCTTTAATAGCAACCCGTTTAATGGAATTTACATTAGAATTGAATCCAAGTACGTTACTTCTTGCAACCAACGTCTTACAAAGAATTATAAATGAAAACTAAGTTTTGCAAATGGATTAGAGTCGCTGATAGTTAATTAGAGAATTAACCATTGCACAAAAAATCGTTTTCGGCAACCTTTTCTTAACTGCTTCTCTTTAAAAAGCGGTTTTCTATTCATTATATTCACTTGACTTTCAATAACTGGATATTTTTTCCTGTAAAATTATTGTTCCGACTTTCGATACGAAAGTAATGAAATATTTGTGCTCGGGGTGGGTTTTTTCTTTCTTCAGGCAAATTTCGACTTTTTAACTAGCCATTTTTGACGGAATTTTTTTCATATCATTCGAAAGGTGTTGTTCGAAAAATATTTCACCAAAGATCATTTTTCGTAAAGTTATGGGGGTTCAAAGTTTGCCATTTTGGCCAATTTGGGGCAATCAACGCGCGATATAATTCGCGCTTTTAAAGCGTAAGCGGAGATTTAATCCGTCTTATAAATTGTTCCAAATTGGTTGAAAGAAGCTTATTTGCCATAATTAATTTGTTACAAGGAGCAAAATTTATCCTTTTTTATTTTATATGGCGTGTGGGCGGGATGATTTTCATAAAAAATTTCAAATTTTAGAAGAAAAAATGTTCATTTTGTTTTGTTACATTTAACTTTTTACTGTTATTACTGCCCGATAAGCCTTAAAAGGCAGTCGGAACATTCAGGGCTTCGCCCTGATACGAGCAGTCTTGTTCCAGTTTGCAATCAACACTTCAGCAAACAAGAACAAACTGAAAGAAGCTCACGCAATCAGTCAAACGCAATTCAATCTAAAATGAACGAAACGGAATAGACAGCTTGAGTTCCGATTTTGTTTGCACACTAGTGGACAAAGACAACGGCAAATTCAAAATTTTCCTCTCTTATGAGCCTTTTTTTCAATGAATTTTTTTTGACAGCTTTCACTGGGAATGTAAACAAAATTTTTGCATATACCAAGAGCAAAAGATCAAAGCGATCGTTATCATAGTTCTCAAAATAACCGCTGCAAAATCGCTCTAAATTTCATTAAACGGTAAGAAATCAATCCATAAAATCATTGGATCAAACTCCAACCAATCAGTATTCAAAAAGATAAGTTTCGGTACTAATGTGACTGCTTTTTTTTGGAAGCTATGATTATTGAGATCTATGGGATCGAAAAAATTAATTAAACAAACGTTTTTGCTCAATTTTGATGCATTTTCAGGTTTAGAAACTAAAATTAAATTTAAAGAATGATCAAAAGTCATGAAAAGTATTAAACAGATTATTTTAAAAAATTAATTTATCAAAATGTTAAATAATGTCTATTAAGCAAACAACTTTAAAAATTCACTCCTGATTTTTTCTGCGAGTTTTGTTTTTTTCCTAAGTTTTTAGTTTCATATTTTCATTTAGAAAATCAATGTTAAACTAACATGTCAGTTTGTTAACTTTTTTTGATGTCAGAGCAAAAAAAACTTTCATTTTTGGAATTAGAGCCTCAATGTTTGATCTCTTTTTCTTTAATTTTAATTTTTGAGTTTAGTTTGAGTTTCAAATTTTAGAAGAAAAAATGTTCATTTTGTTTTGTTACATTTAACTTTTTACTGTTATTACTGCCCGATAAGCCTTAAAAGGCAGTCGGAACATTCAGGGCTTCGCCCTGATACGAGCAGTCTTGTTCCAGTTTGCAATCAACACTTCAGCAAACAAGAACAAACTGAAAGAAGCTCACGCAATCAGTCAAACGCAATTCAATCTAAAATGAACGAAACGGAATAGACAGCTTGAGTTCCGATTTTGTTTGCACACTAGTGGACAAAGACAACGGCAAATTCAAAATTTTCCTCTCTTATGAGCCTTTTTTTCAATGAATTTTTTTTGACAGCTTTCACTGGGAATGTAAACAAAATTTTTGCATATACCAAGAGCAAAAGATCAAAGCGATCGTTATCATAGTTCTCAAAATAACCGCTGCAAAATCGCTCTAAATTTCATTAAACGGTAAGAAATCAATCCATAAAATCATTGGATCAAACTCCAACCAATCAGTATTCAAAAAGATAAGTTTCGGTACTAATGTGACTGCTTTTTTTTGGAAGCTATGATTATTGAGATCTATGGGATCGAAAAAATTAATTAAACAAACGTTTTTGCTCAATTTTGATGCATTTTCAGGTTTAGAAACTAAAATTAAATTTAAAGAATGATCAAAAGTCATGAAAAGTATTAAACAGATTATTTTAAAAAATTAATTTATCAAAATGTTAAATAATGTCTATTAAGCAAACAACTTTAAAAATTCACTCCTGATTTTTTCTGCGAGTTTTGTTTTTTTCCTAAGTTTTTAGTTTCATATTTTCATTTAGAAAATCAATGTTAAACTAACATGTCAGTTTGTTAACTTTTTTTGATGTCAGAGCAAAAAAAACTTTCATTTTTGGAATTAGAGCCTCAATGTTTGATCTCTTTTTCTTTAATTTTAATTTTTGAGTTTAGTCTAGCTTCACCTTCCTGATATGCAGCGATTTTTACGTTAACTAGTTAAACTGGCTAGTGGCCTGGTCAATGATCTTCCAACTTAACTCTGAAAATATATCATCGCCTCCAGACTGTTTTAGCTTGTGATCGGTAGGAGGCTGACTTAGATGAAATTGCATCCACTACAGTCTAATTTTTATACCATTTTGGATTTAAGCTCACACGAAAAAGCTGATTTTAACGGCAGAAAACAAATTTTTAATTTTTCGGTTTTGAACACTGTTTTTTTTTGCGGCGGCGATATCCCGAACT